AACTCAAAAATGAAAATACGCACATTTTTTGAAATTTGCGAACAATTTATTTAAAATGGGAACATGTTTTGAACTGCTTGAACATTTTTTTGAATATTGTGAACAAAAATAATGAAAACAGGAATATTTTTTTGAAACTCCAAACAAAATTCAAAAGCAAGAACATTTTTTGGATCTATGAACAAAATTTGAATACGGGAACATTTTTTGAAATTCCGAACAAAATTTTAAAAAATGAACAGTTTTAAAACTCCCGAACAAAATTTCAAAATGCGAACAATTTTTGAAAAAGTGAACATTTTTTGAATATGTGAATTTATTTGAAATCGGAAACAATTTTCTGAAACTCCGGAACAAAACACAAACAAAATCTTGAAAATCGAACATTTTTTGAAAAAGAGAACATTTTTGAAAAAGGAAAACAAAAAAGAAAAAAGAAAAGAAACAATAAACAAAAAAGAAAGGAAACAGTAAAAAGAAAAAGGAAAGGAATGAAAATAAAAAACGGTTCAGGAACCTTCTAGAAGGTTACCAAAACCAGAGAACAAATTTTGAAACAAAGAACAAATTTGAAAAATCCCGAACAAATTTGGAAGAGCGAACATTTTTTGAATATGTGAACAAAAAGTTGAAATCTAGTACATTTTCTGAATTTCGAAAGTTTTGCACTTTTTTGTGTATCAAGAACAATTTTTGAATTTTGAGAACATTTTTCAAAAACTGAGCATTTTTTTTGAAACACAAACCAAACTTAAATTTTTTGATATTTTTTGAAAAAAAGAGAAGAAAAGAAAAAGAAATAAAAAGAAAATCCTAAACATTTTGTAAAAATAAAATAGAAAAATATCAAAAAGAAAGGAGCAAGAAGAAAGAAAAAAAGACAGAAAAAAGAAGGGGGGAAAACGAAAAAGGAAAGAAAAATCAAAAGGAAAAAACCGGTTCAGGAACCTTCTAGAAAGTTCCCAAAACCGAAAAAAACCGGCTTGGAACATTCATAGAAGGTTCCCAAAACCAAGTAGGATTGGAACGCGCTTAACCGGCTGGCCCGCCCACGAGCGCTCGGGCGATAGGGTGTGCGGAACCCCGACTGTTTGCCGCAAAGAGCGGCAAATAGGATTTTCCGCCGCTTTGGTGTACTCCTTTCAGATTCTCAAAAGTCTTTTAACATGTCTAGCCAGTTCAAGTAAGCCGCGGCCTGAAAACAAATACGGCCTTTTGTGACGCTCCAAATCAAACGGCTGGGCGCATACGGCTTTTTGTCCAGTGAGACGAGACAAGAAAAACGCGGGCCAATCTATCTCCACGGGCAGGGCCGTCTTACACTCAGGGCCGTCAAACCGATCCGTCATCTCCTCCACTTGCCCAGTTTCGATATTGACCAGATATGATGAGCTCCAGTTTTGATCGGCGAGGAGCAACGTGCCACTTTTCTCCCCAAGGCAAATGCAATCTACTACTCCGTCAGCCTTGGGTGGCTCTATCTCGATCAAGTGCGTGCAGAGCCAGGAGGCTGTGCCGCTGCCTTGACGTGTCCATATTTCTATCCACAGGCCTTGAACATGCAGGCGAAGAAACAAGAGCGATCCGTCGGCGCCAACGCGAAGTTGACGTGCGCTGTAGGGGGCCAAGAAGAAGCGTGTGGCAACGGGGAAAGGGAGCTTGGCTAGAGAGGCCTGACCGGTCTCGGCATCCACCGCAAAGTCGTAGACGTCCGAAAAGTCCCAGCAGAGCCAGTGTGCTGCGCCCCTTTGCACGGCGGCGTCGTTCTGCATCAGCAGATAAGCCGTGTGCTTCTCCGGCAAGCAACGGTCCAGGCAAGCGGTGGGCGCGCTCCAGCCCGGTTCATCAGATGAGAACGTGTAGAGATGGTAGTGCCGTCCGTCCGGGCTGGCGCCGATGATCAGCACTCTGAATAAGACGGAGAAGCCCGGCAATGGCGGCCGGCTGGAGCGAAAGTCGGCCCCTGTTAGGACGCCAAAGCCGTTGAGCGTATCGTTGTTCTCGCATGACTTGTACTCCAGTGGGGGAAGCGCCTCGCACGTGCCGGCGAGCAGGTTACAGATGGCAAGGTGGATGACGGTCGGGCGCGAGGCATGACGAGTCGGGACGAAGCGCACGAGGAGGAGACCGCCGTGCGAGGCAAGCGGCGTCACACGGTCGAAGAGGATGCCGGCTTGGGGGAGCAAGGAGCCGAGGGATCGACGGCCACGGCCCAACACCGGTGGCGGTCCTGGAGCTGGAACAAAGGTTTGGGCGGCGGCTGATCCCATGGGGAGCCCCATGATTCCTTGAGGCCTTGTTCGGTTACACCCCTCCACAAGAGGATTGAAGGGGATTTAGGGAGGTTTTGACTTGTAGAGGATTAAATCCACTTCAATCCCTGCCAAATCCCTCTCAACCGAACACAGCCTGATGAATGTGGCATTTGTTAGCCAGGAACCCGGCGAGGGAGGACGGATGGCGCGAGTTGGCTGGCCATCGACGGCGGAGGAAGGAGGAGTCGACTATAAGGCACCTCCACAGCTTGCACGTCGCCGCGCAGCGGAAGAGTGAAGCCTCGTCAGCCAAGCGTACGAGGATCTCCAGGATGACATCGTCTGGGAGCGTGGCCGCTGGCGCTTCCATCTTTTTCATCACGTCCACGTGATCAACGGCGACTGGAGCCTCTCTCTATGCAGATTACTACTGGTAGTAGATTCTATTAGGAGCCAAATTGAGGGCGGGCCTATGTATGTATGTACTTATGAACGTCAACACGCGCACACCCACCCAACCTAACTCGGTGCTGGACTTAGGCCGGCTCGGATACAAGGTCTCACCCTCGACCGAGACGCGCACGTACAGGATCATGCCGTGTCTAATCTGGGAGCACCTTTGGCTCAGGCGCCTCAACATTTTATTTGTCCCAGTCAATTTTCTCCCCAACCGTTGGATACTCATCCAAAGAACAGTGTAGAAAGTATACTTGTCCTCAGTTGGCTGTAAACTTATGTTGTTTCGGCTCCCTTTTTAGTACACGCGCGCACGTACGCACGCACACAAACAATATACTCAAAATTTGCACACAAATTACACAAATCTTGCATTATTTTGTACCGTGAAAGAATAACTGTAAACTAGTGCAACTTCTAGAAAAATGAATTTCATTTTAGGCAAAATTTTATAATTTTACACCATTGAGGTCAAACTGGTGCTGCACGCACAAATATAAAGAAATGCTCTGCGCAAAAATAAAATAAAGAAATGCAACAATTTAGGAAACTGCTGCACGCACCATTTTAGGAAATCTGTAAGCCGAGTCAAAACAATTCATGATCTCGTCTGTGGCATAGCTTTGGGGTTGAGGCTGCCTGCTCCAGGTCTGCAAGATGAATCAAAGAAGGAAAAACCGGCATCTTTGTTCATAATACTCCCTCTGTAAAGAAATATAAGAGCGTGTAGATCACTAAAGTAGTGATCTAAACGCTCTTATATTTGTTTACAGAGGGAGTACATCATTAGATTCATGCGAGATATGATGTCGGTAATGATCTTTATCTCATCTTCTCAAGTGGAATTTCTGAGCCTCCTTGCCACTTTTTTGGTTCTGATACACGGTCTACATAATGGAGGAAGCTCCAAGACAAAGCAGCCAGGTGCAGGGAGTCCTCCTAGGACTGAATTAAGGGGGATAAGCAACAGGAAGACCAACCAAATCTACAAGATACCAGCAAGTATCTAACTGAAAATTTAGTACTCCTAAAACCACAGAGATCCACCTCCGGAAGGATGCAAATAGTACTGCTATATGACAGACGATTGACAATTTCATACCGCAAATAGAATGCAGTTAGGTAAATGCTCCAGGATGGCTAAAACTTTCACTGAGTGATTTGTCTAATTAATTCCTCTGCAAATAAAATTGGTGACATTAGTATCAAGACCAGTTGCCAGTTAAATTATGAGTAGCCAAGATGACGGAAACTACCTTTTTCTCTTTTCCATGGAGACTTCAGTGAGAGCAGAAAGGATTCTTGATATCTCCACAGTGTTGTCTGTGCTCTTTTCCATTATTACTCTTGCAGTATCTAACATTTTCCCAGCAAGATCCACATCAGAAACATCTCCAGCGCCTGCCATCTCATTGTCACCCTTCTTATCCTCCTGATCTTCGCCATTTGAGTTTTCCCCTGCTCAATGAGCATATTAGTATAAAGTTAAACCATGGCAGGAAGAAAAGCACATTGAACTAGAAGATCAGTTATACTAGTGGTGGACTGTTTGTGAAACAAAAAACAGCAATAGAAAACAATGAGATGCATGCATATGCTTAAATCATCCAACTTAACCAGTATAACATACCATTGACCAATACAGTGGCCCATCTAAATATACAATGGCTAAAATTCTGATAGAAATTTGAGACAAGAAATACTCACATTACATTACTGCATAACTCATGTACCATATATAATTGCAAAAGGTGAAACTTCTATGTTGTAGTATAAGTTAGCACACGCGAGTAACCTGGTTAGACAGCTAAATACAAGTGCAATGAATGAAGGCAGTGATTCAAGTATCCATATCTGTTTAATCTGGCATTGCCATTTGGCCATTCCAAGTGTGTCAAGAGGCACAAAAATAAAAAAATAAAATAGCTGGCGCATGGCACCATACACAAGCCCCAAATATGGACAACACATAAACAAGCTCTTTTAGCATTAAAAGCATTTTCTGCTTTCTGTGAGATCATCAACTATTTATAGCATAAACTTGACTTGCACCATATGTAACAGCAATGAGCAAAACAATTTGACAAAATGGCCTCCTACCAAATGATGACAATCCAAGAGATAAGTCCAAACGGTAAACAAGCCCAGGCCCCTTATGAGACCATTTAGTTTGCAAATGCATGGGTACATTATTGATTAGCAGTTTATTATGTATAATAATTAGCAGGAAAGAAAAGCTTGTGATCAGGAGATTGTAATTAACTATACAGTTACAAACAGTAACATATCTTATATGTGACTGTCTAGGGGGTAAAGGCATAAAGATATACGTTCTTCAGTACGAGCTTTGCTGATTGTACCCTTCTTGGGAACGTTTGCCAGAGGATTAGTTGCCTTTTGAGCTTTCCATAGCAAGGCACACCCATATTTGTAATACACGCTAGCACATTCCGCAGCAAGTTCACCATAATGTGCAACCCTAGGTGACAACAAAGGAGTAGATTTGTCATTGTTGAAGTTATAACATGCTGCCATAGAACAGAATGTAATCTAAGATAGATTGAGATAATCAGAACGAAACACCCCAATTGCTCCACTGATCATTTAGATGACAGAATGTGCTAACTAGTACTCGCTCCATTCACAGACAAAAGATGTTTTTAGATAAGTATTACAATATGGACTACATACGGACTGAAATGAGTGAAAACACACTAAAAATGTGTCTATCTACATCCGATTCAGCAAAAAGTTAGAACATCTTATATTTGTGAATGGAGGGAGTAATTATGTTCACTGTTTATTGCCATTTATAGCGATCGAGTACAATTTGTAAGAAATCATATAGATAAACATCACTACTATGTAACATTTGCAACTAGTCAGTACTCCAGAGGCATAGACAGATTTACTGAATAGGATAACTCTTATCTATGAAGCAATTGCATTTTGAATTGATGCTCTTACACAGCTCAGATATCATAACAAATGATGGGCAGATCCAAATTTCCAAATATTGCTATCAACTAAAAACTAGGCACTCACTAGTCCCTAACACCCCAACAAACTCCATCAAGGTAGTTGTTGACACAGTAAGCCTAAACGACCGCTTGGTAACCACCTTTCCACGCGTATAACATCTGAAACCTATCAAGATCATCTCTCAAACTACAAAACATTAGGACACATTTAAGCAATAACAAACCCATAACAAGACTGAACTAATTGGATGCTTTTCCCTACAATCCTTCGCATGCCTTCGGCATGATTGTGAACAGAATTCTAACCTGATCGCCAGGACGCGGCTGAGGCAATCAACAGCGGCAACAAAGTCCCCCTCCTTGATGGCCCTGGACCCTCTGTAAAACAGCGACTCTGCCTGCCTTAGTGCTTCCCACTCCCACTCCTCGTCATCTGACTCACCATTGAAGTCCGGAGAGCCCAGGCCATCGTGCTCAACTTGAGGTACCCGGAGTATGGAGTAGGAGCTGACAACTGGAACCAAAGGGTAGGCCCTGCATCGGTCCTTGCACATCTTCCTCCCCCGCTTGGACTGGAGCTCGATTGAAAAGAAGCCATCATCCGTGCTCACCAAAATGGTATTTGCCCCCTCGACAAAGCCCATCAGAAATGCTATTATTCTTGAGGACGACGACCTAGCAGCAAATGGAAGCGAATCGCCGAGGTACATGACCGGGCACTCCACCCATTCTGCATCACCTCCTTCACTGACCTTCCTTGACCAGAGGTAGAGATGATTGAACCCATTGTCATCAGCTAGAGCAATTCCCAGCCCACCATCCTCCGCCTGAACCAGCATAACTCTCTGCGAGAATGCAGCAGCACCAAAGTCCGGTTCCGGTGGGTTGATCACATTGAGGACATGCTCAGCCAAGTTGTACTCGAGGGTGTGCCCATCAAGGTACAGGAAGTACAGCAGAGAATTCCCCACGAGCAGGCCAGGATTCTCACAGAGCAAGGAAAAGCCATCGCGCCAGGGCAAGGCCAAGGCCACCTCACCCCAGGCGCCGGTCTCCGACGAGTATTGGCACGCCGACGTGACCCACTCTGTTTCCTCGTCGAAGGGGGTGGTGAACACCAAGACAATGCGGAAGGGCCCCCCGTGGCAGTTGAGATGGTCGCACCCCTCCGCCGCACAGAGCACGGTGGCGTTGGAGTGCCCGATGTTGAGTTCCGCGGGTACCGGCACGCTCCACCGGTTTCCTGTGAACGGCTCCCAGACGAGGAGCTCCCGGTCGGTAGTCTCGGAGACGAATACGGCGCGGCCGTGCCGGTAGCCGAGGACGTGCCAATCGCGGGGGTCGGGGACAGGGAAGGAGTAGGGGGAGGTGGGCACGTAGACGGGGAGATTCTCATCACCTTCCGAGTGCTGGAGGAACCCTAGCATATTGGGTGCCCGGCGGTGCGCGTGGAGGTGGCGGAGGAAGCTGGGGGCGGAGATGATGTCGCGCCAGTGCTTGCAGACGAGGCAGGCGCGGAGGAGGCATGAGGGTTCGTCGGGAGGGAGGCGGGAGAAGATTTCCTCGAGGAGGTGGTCTGGAAGCGCCGGCGGCGAGCGGCGGTGGCGTGGCAGCGCCATGTTTCCAGACGAGCCGGGTGCCTGGGTGGGGAAGACGGAACAGGAGGAGACCGAACTGGTGACTTGGTTCGGCTCAACCAACTAATCTGGTTAAGCCATTTCCTTTTCTTTTCTGAGAACGGTTAGGCCATTTCCTAATTCTACGAGTATTTTTATGTTGAGGGACTAATTCTACAAGTATTATTGTAGAAGTACTCATTTCTTTTAATAATTCTAAAACCATAACTGTTGAGCCCAATATTTTTCTGTTCTAAGAAATGCATATTTGGACAATCTCGTTCAAATTAATAAACCAGATCAAGGATGAATAATTGATGGGTTCATCCTCGAGTACAGCTGCATAGGAAAAGTCAGCGCATCAGGCCAGACGGCACAGCTGTAGGGAAGCTCCTTGCTTCGTCCCTAGGAACAGTTCAGTTCCTCCCTAGGGTATCTGTTTCGTAACTTGCGTTGGGCGATCTGGATCTCGCCTTGGCCCTTGTCATCATCCATCGTCGCCGTTGTTTCCCACCTGCCGACATCGAGTTCTCGGGCGTCTGGCGCAGTTCTCGGGCCGGATCAGGTTGCTGGTGGACCGAGTCAGGTTGGGTCGGGGTTAGATGGGTATGAGGCCCAAGCTAACCCGGTGTCGAGCTTTTTTTTCCTGGGGGAGGACCGGGGCGTGGTGGGCACGGTGGTTGGTCCGGGACTGCCTGGGTATGAGGCCCAGGTTGATCCTGTCCCGATCGCTATTGAGGACGAGGCAGTGTCTTTAGTGCGATCGTCGTGTCGTACCGTGCCGCCAGTTAGGGTTCGTCATCGCCGGAGTCCAAACCTCCGTTCGGCTGGGGGTGGTAGGGCTCGGCGTATTCCTCCGCTCGGAACGATGGCGGGTCGTGGAGGGTCCTTGCCGCCGGGGAAGAAGTCCGTTGTGCCACAGGGGACCGGCCGCCTAGGGGCTGCGCCGCCGCAGGGCTCTGGCGGAGGCCGTGGCGCAGTGCCGCCGCCAGCCGCTGGGGCTGGAGCTCTGCTACCGTCGGCCGCGGGCGGTGGCCGCGGTACTGCGCTGCCACTGGCGCCTGGGACTGGCCGTGGGGGAGCATCTACACTGGTCCAACCGGCTGGTCGGGGCACGGTTCCGGTCGGTGCGGCCGTGGGCCAGGGCGGCGTGTTGCCCGGTCCTAGACCCACGACGCCTGCTCCTCTGGGTCACCGGCCTCCGGCGCCGGGTGTTGCCGGGAACACCAATGTGGGCCGGGGTGGCGCTGCGCCGAGGCCGCCTACACCGGGGCTGTTGACCGGCCAGCCGAGGCCGGCCCCGCCGCCTCACGTCGTCGCCAAGCCTCAGCAGAACCGAGCCGGGACGGTGCAGACTCAGGCACCTCCGCCGCCTCAAGTTTCGGCTGCGCCCCGGGGCCAGTGGGGTGATGATGGTGTCAATGCGTATGGAGCTGGTAAGCACCGTGGATCATCATCGACGGGCGGCGGTCGAGGCTATGCTTGGCAGAGCGATGGCTTGACGGAGCGACCGTTCATGGGGCCCGAGGAGGTTTTGTTGAGGGGGCGTCTGGCCCTGGCTACCGATAGCGGGGTGGTTTCCGCGGTCATCGTGGTGGTCGTGGGGGTCGAGGTGGCCGATACCGCCCATGATAGCCTCCTCCGCCTGTGGTTGATCAGATGGTGGTTGACGGGGCTGTTGAGCAGCAGGTGTTGTCTGGTCAAGCTATGGAGGTGGTCTCGGTGCTAGCTAATGCTGAGATTCCCGGGAATGAATCCGGGTTGACTGTGTCAGTGGAGGCTTCTGATAGGGCTGAGTCTGAAAGGGCGTCCAAATGGGTGCGTAAGAAAGAGAAAATGCTCTCTTATCAATGTGGTGGTAAGGGACATTTTATTGCTGAGTGTGTGGCTGAGCTTTGTGGAACTTGTGGCAAACCGGCACATGATGCAGGGGACTGCCCATTTTTGCATGATCAGGCACCATCTCTCATGATGTATGGAGTGTACTGTTCTGAACTCACGTTCTTTGAGTCTCCCTCGGAGATGGAGGTTCCTGACGAGACCTTGAGTTTGACGACGGGGATAGTCAAAATTACCAGAGGAGAGGTCTCTGAGGCTCTGATTGTGCAGAGGCTCAAGGAGTTGGCCCCAGGTGATTTCCAGTGGGAACTTGTTACTATTGAGGATAAACTGTTTCGGGTTGAGTTCCCATCGGTGGAGGATCTTCAGAGACTTCTGAGTTTCGGGATGTGCAAGGTGCCGGGTACTGATTGTGTGCTGGAGTTTCACGAGTGGAAGAGGATCGAGCCTACGGGCAAGCCTCTGACTCAGGTCTGGTTGCGCTTCTCTGGGGCTCCCTCGAAGTCGATGCAGGATGCTCGGGTCGTCGCTAGCCTGGGTATTATGGCGGGGAGACCAGAGCGAGTGTGTTGGGGAATGTAGCAGAAATTCAAAATTTTCCTACGTGTCACCAAGATCTATCTATGGAGAAACCAGCAACGAGGGGAAGGAGAGTGCATCTACATACCCTTGTAGATCGCTAAGCGGAAGCGTTCAAGAGAACGGGGTTGAAGGAGTCGTACTCGTCGTGATCCAAATCACCGGAGATCCTAGTGCCGAACGGACGGCACCTCCGCGTTCAACACGCGTACAGCCCGGTGACGTCTCCCATGCCTTGATCCAGCAAGGTGAGAGGGAGAGGTTGAGGAAGACTCCATCCAGCAGCAGCACAACGGCGTGGTGGTGATGGAGGAGCGTGGTAGTCTAGTAGGGCTTCGCCAAGCACCGCGGGAGAGGAGGAGTAAGAGAGGTAGGGCTGCGCCAAGAGGGAGAGAAACTCGTGTGTTGGGCAGCCCCCAGACCTCATGTATTTATAGGGGGAGGGGAGGGGGCTGCGCCCCCTCTAGGGTTCCCTCCCCAAGGGTGGCGGCAGCCCCCAGATGCCATCTGGGTGGCGGCCAGAGGGGGAGAGAGGGGAGGCGCGCCTGGGGTGGGCCTTAGGGTTTGCCCCCTCCCACTCTTCCCTGCGCCTTGGGCCCCTTGTGGGGGGCGCACCAGCCCACCTGGGGCTGGTCCCCTCCCACACTTGGCCCATGCAGCCCTCCGGGGTTGGTGGCCCCACTTGGTGGACCCCCAGGACCCTCCCGGTGGTCCCGGTACTTTACCGATAAAACCCGAAACTATTCCGGTGACCAAAACAGGACTTCCCATATATAAATCTTTACCTCCGGACCATTCCGGAACTCCTCGTGACGTCCGAGATCTCATCCGGGACTCCGAACAACATTCGGTAACAACATACAAACTTCCTTTATAACCCTAGCGTCATCGAACCTTAAGTGTGTAGACCCTACGGGTTCGCGAATCATGCAGACATGACCAAGACGTTCTCCGGTCAATAACCAACAGCGGGATCTGGATACCCATGTTGGCTCCCACATGTTCCAAGATGATCTCATCAGATGAACCATGATGTCAAGGACTCAATCGATCCCGTATACAATTCCCTTTGTCTAGCGGTATTGTACTTGCCCGAGATTCGATCGTCGGTATGCCGATACCTTGTTCAATCTTGTTACCGGCAAATCTCTTTACTCGTTCCGTAACACATCATCCCGTGATCGACCCCTTGGTCACATTGTGCACATTATGATGATGTCCTACCAAGTGGGCCCAGAGATACCTCTTCGTTTACACGGAGTGACAAATCCCAGTCTCGATTCGTGCCAACCCAACAGACACTTTCGGAGATACCTGTAGTGCACCTTTATAGCCACCCAGTTACGTTGTGACGTTTGGTACACCCAAAGCATTCCTACGGTATCCGAGAGTTGCACAATCTCATGGTCTAAGGAAATGATACTTGACATTAGAAAAGCTTTAGCATATGAACTACGATCTTTGTGCTAGGCTTAGGATTGGGTCTTGTCCATCACATCATTCTCCTAATGATGTGATCCCGTTATCAACGATATCCAATGTCCATGGTCAGGAAACTGTAACCGTCTATTGATCAACGAGCTAGTCATCTAGAGGCTTACTAGGGACTTGGTGTTGTCTATGTACCCACACATGTATCTGAGTTTCCTATCAATACAATTATAGCATGGATAATAAACGATTATCATGAACAAGGAAATATAATAATAATAACTAATTTATTATTGCCTCTAGGGCATATTTCCAACAGTCTCCCACTTGCACTAGAGTCAATAATCTAGTTCACATCGCCATGTGATTAACACTCACACTTCACATCTCCATGTGACCAACATCCAAAAAGTTTACTAGTTCACATCACCATGTGATTAAGACTCAATGAGTTCTGGAGTTTGATCATGTTTTGCTTGTGAGAGAAGTTTTTAGTCAACGGGTCTGCAATATTCAGATCCGTATGTACTTCGCAAATCTCTAGGTCATATTGTAAATGCTGCTTCCACGCTCCAAATGGTCGTTCCACTATACGTATCATGTTTGCTACTCAGAGTCATTCGGATAGGTGCTAAAGCTTGCATCGTCGTAACCCTTTACGCCGAACTCTTTATCACCTCCATAATCGAGAAACATATCCTTATTCCTCTAAGGATAATTTTGACCGCTATCTGGTGATCCACTCCTTGATCACCTTTGTACCCTCTTGCCAGACATGTGGCAAGGCACACATCAGGTGCGGTACTTAGCATAGCATATTGTAGAGCCTATGTCTAAAGCATAGGAGACGACCTTCGTCCTTTCTCTCTTTTCTGCCGTGGTCGAGCTTTAACTCTTAACTTCATACCTTACATCTCAGGCAAGAACTCCTTTGACTGATCCATCTTGAACACCTTCAAGATCATGTCAAGGTATATGCTCATTTGAAAGTATTATTAAGCATTTTGATCTATCCTTATAGATCTTGATGCTCAATGTTCAAGCAGCTTAATCCAGGTTTTCTATTGAAAAACATCTTTCAAATAACCCTATATGCTTTCCAGAAATTCTACATCATTTCTAATCAACAATATGTCAACAACATATACTCATCA